CAAAAGAAGGAAAAAAACCATAGTTGTGTCAAAGAAAACAAAATAAGAGAATGACTTAGTTGGGGAGTTTCAGAAAGATTTTTCTAACCTGAGGTCTGAACAAGCCAAGTGAACCAACTCCAGGCAGGAGAGGAGAGGAGAGGAATCCAGGCGAGGAAGCAGAGGGACTGTGTACAACGCGTATCAAACGCAACCTGCAGGCACTGGGGTACATGTGAGGAAGTGGATTTCACTTCTCAGCTGGTCGTTTCAGTACTGCTTACCATTTTACTGCCAGCGTTGCTATTTTTGGTATAAAAAGTAGCTGCTATTTCAGTACACAAGTGCTTCATGCTCACAGTGAGCCTCCCAGCACTCTGCAACTGGGCTCCTAGACTTCAGTCCTGAGCTCCTCACACCTAGGCGAAGAAAGGAGCCTGCCAGATCTCATCCAAGACAGAATGAGGGGGACAAAGAGTGATGCATTCACGACTTTCTTTGTATTTCATTTCAGCTGGTAGAAGGCCAACTTCAGGTTCCCTTCACGGAGTCCAGAGCAGGCATTTTCACAGCTGGCTGAAGAGCCATGGTTTGTTTTCCCAAGTTCAAGAGATCAGTCCTTGGCAGAGTTGATACAAAATTACTCGCTCAAGCAAACAGAGGTTAAGACCAGTAATTGTCCTGTTTCCTGTCCCTGCTGGCAAGGATCACCACAGTATAGGAACAGGTCGCTTTCACTTCTGAAGTAAAAGGAGGCACAATATGGTGAGACCTAGCACTAGAGGGTATCTTACAGGAAGTGCACGTCACAGATGAGCACAAATACCAGATAATTCATACATTTGTAACTGTCACAGGAAGCATTCTGAAAAAAGTAATGTTCTTTTCCTCCAAAATAACATGCATGTGCAACGTGACACTGATTTCTGAGCGCAGCCTCCCTGTGTTCATCTGTGAGTCCTCAGAGATGCCACAGACCCTGGGGTTCAGGATGCCTCCTTTAGAAGACATGCCTGGTAGGGCTGGGGATGTAGCTCAGTGGTTCCGGTGCCTGCCTCACAAGTGCAAGGTCCCGAGTTCGATCCCCGGTACCAAAAAAATAAAAAAAATAAATAAAAAAAAAAGAAGATATGCCTGGTAACACAAATCTTCATTCATTCAACAAATCTTACATGTTTTAGGCTCTGAGCTATGTTTGGATGTAGAACAAAGAGTCACTAAGAGACAGCTTTCCACAACACCCTCAATCCAACAGTTTGATCAACGTTTTTCTCTGATGACAGGTATTATGTGCACGTGCACATACAATATACCTATGTTAGGTAAATTCACAGAATGTAGGCTCTCTTTTTAGTGTTCTCCTCTACTGGATTCACACATACACACCCGGAAAGCCATGTCCACACCCACACTGAGACATTAAAACAACCATTTCTTTGTATCTTTGATGAGCAGCTGCCAGTTTATCCTCGGTTAAATGTGGGGGCCAATCACAGATGCCACATTTGATACACATGCTCGGAATCTTCCAGTCAGCCCTCCTGTGGTGGATTGTAGCTCAGCCTGTTCTTCTCTGCTCCCCTCCCCAGGCAGAGAGCAATACAGCAAGATTAGCATTTTCGTCACAGTAAACCCCAAGATACCCACATTTCAGAGCGTGCCGGTGGAAAATGGGGGTGCCAGGCAAAGGCCCTCACAGAGCAAAGTCTTTCCAGAGTCCCCTCCACAGCTAAGACACAAATTAGTTATAAATCACAATCTGGGGACATCCGAAATGAGAACAAGGCTAAACATTGAACAACAAATCCAGACAAACATTTACAACCTAATCAGCAAGTGAAGCATGTTTTCTTGTGTCCAATGTCTTAGTGCTTTGGGTAAAAAATTCCTCAATTCAGTAAAATAAAATAAATTCCTTGTTCAGAGTGAAAGAATTTAGAATATACCTATTAGATGTACAATCTAAAACATAAATAAGTGGCTTTCTGTGTAATGAAAAGCGGGGAACAAGGGAGTCTTTCAAGCAGGTGAGGGAAGAGATTGCATAGATACTGGAATTCTCGCAGCAAGACAAGCCTGGGCGATTTTCATAAATTCACCCGCAAATCTCGCCAGCTCCACTTGCTAACTTTGCTTCTCTGACCTCTGTGCTTCCCCTCCTCTTCTCCATTTTTTTTTCCCTTGGAGCCATGGTTACTGACTGTGTTGGATACAGAGTACTGGAGGAGCAAAGGAGAGGGGGAGAGAGAGAGAGAGAGAGAGGTAGAAAAGGGCCAAGACAAAATCAGGTGTTATAGTTAGATCCTTTATTTCAATTGCTAGGTATTTGTTTTTCTGTTTTATTTTGACAAGGATAAGTTTTCAAATTAAATTTTCTTTATTGAATTTTCACTCTTGGGTAGTTTCTGTAGATGCTGCCTTAGCAAAATAGAAAAGGAAAATACAATAAATAAAATTAGAACTGTTACATTTCATGCTCTGTGGAAGCTGGGCCTGAGACGCCATTGTTCCGTCGCCAGCTGCCGTGGCTTTGGGGAGCAGAGGGGTGAGGTCAGGAGTGCAGCAGTGACAGTGTGGGTTGGGGCACAGACAGCCTCGTGGTGTTCAGCATACTGGTTATATATATGCACTGGACACCACAAGACGTGAAGCTCATTATCCCCAAAGTAGGACATGAAAGCAATCTGGGATGCTCCCAAGCCCATCCAGAGCTTTCTAAACACGGGCTGCCTTCATGGAAGACAGAGTCTGAAGCTCTTTCACTCTTTCAATAGCTTTCTGCCATGGGCCTTTGCTACTCAGTGTATTCCACAGCCCAACTTTGTCAGCCTCATCGGGAAGCTTGTTAGCACTGCAGAATCTTGGGCAGCCCACTGAACCAGCATTCACATTCTGACAAGGTCCTTAGATGGGCCACGTGTGTGTTAAAGTTCAAGGTGTAAAGCTCTGAAAGTCTCAGGTGACCTGGGACACGAGGTGAGACAGTGAACTGGTCGACCTGTTGATCATGCATCCCAGGCACTTGGAGGGCTCCCGGTACAGAAGACGGAGCAAGGTGCCTGATCTTTGGGTTCGCTAGACTATACACTGGTGGAGAGGAAAAATGACGTAAGTGGGGCGTATTATTTCAAATGGAGATGAAAGCAAAAAGAAAGAAAGAAAGAGAGAAAGAAAGAAAGAGAGAGAAAGCAAGCAAGCAAGCAAGTAAGCAAGCAAGCATAGTTAGATGAAAGGAAACAAAATAAGAAGCTGGATTAGATTGGAAGTTGAAGAAAGACGCTTCAGATAAGAGTGCTTAAGAACTCCAGGGCTGAAGCATCCACGGTGATTCATTACCCTCGACTGGTGGTCAAGGCTGGGGAGGCAGCAGTGTCCCAGGCGGAGGACACAGCAAGAATCAGGTCCTGTGGCAAGACACAACCCTAGTATGTTCCAAGGACTGAAAGCAGGCCCGAAGGCCTGCAGGCAGGCACCAGAGTACGCTGGGAGCAGTGACTCTGCTCTTCACGTCAGAGCAATGGAAATGAGCTGCAGTTTGACGCTAGTGCTGCATTCACTGGGCACTCGGACCAGGGCACAGGCAGTCTGCACTCGGCTCCATGCTTCCGCCAACTGTGCCAGGGAGTATTCGTGCCCCAGAGAGGAGGCCCCTGGCCGTGAGTCATCTCAATGGGTGTCCCCATGGGGCCTGGCTTCTGAGGAGCTTGGCTCTGCAGCGCCCTGCAGTTTGGGCTCAGTGTTGATTCAGTGGGTGTCTTCTGCCTTTGCACTCCGGAGAGCTGAGGATACGTAGGCAGGGACCCCTGGCCCAGAGAGGGAACGTCCTGGGAATGTGGCTCCATGCCAGGCAACAGCCCCCTGGTCTGTGGTAAGGTAACCGTGGGTCATCCACTGCCTTTCCCTCTCCTACACACCAGGCTTTTCTCCATCAGCCCCATCTATACACATTCCCCTTTACCCGATGGACACTTCAGCAACTGCACAATTCTTCTGAGTTTCCTCAGGACCAAGGGGGGTGCAGGGAATTCACACTGTTATTGCTCAGGCACGGCCTGCAGTGTTTTATAAGCACTGGTTCATCTCACTCTCACCTGGACGAACTTTGAGAAACAGACACTGCTACCCTCTCTGTCCTTGCTGCATACCTTAGGTACCCTATTCCTTAACTCTCCATGCTTTGGTTTTCTCATCCATAAAATGGGAATAACAACCTACAGAGCTGTCATGAAGATTAACTGTGAGAAAGTACACAAAGAGCCAAGCACAGCTGCTGCTGCAAGGTAATTGCTAAATCAAAGTGCGCTAATAAAGAAGCTTTGTTATTAACTTATTTACTTCACAGACAAGAGCCTAGGGCATAAAAGGTTAAGTGGTGCCACCATTCGTGAGGGGTTTTCTGAGACACTTGCTCGTGGATTTGAGTTTGGGAAGCGCATCCTTGTTTCCTTTGCCACCATGTACCCAAAGCTACAGCGTCCACTCAGGGCAGCTGTTCAGTGTAACACACCCACCCAGAGCAGGGGACAACCAACAAAGGGTGAGGAACTGACTCAGAAGACCTCCCCTCCTTCAGCCTGCGGAAGAAACATAAATGGCGGCTCTCTCCCTCCTGTTTCAGGCAAGTGTTTTATGACTCTCTAAAGAAGACTGTGAGGTATCGCCTGGGTGGAATCTGACGCACGGAGACTGCAGAATAAATCAGAAGTAAAGGTAGCAGCAGCGACAAAACCCTTAGAAAGCAGGATCGGGGGAATTTCTTTTTAACCCAGAAAGAGACCTTGATTAAATGAGAGAATGGTGCTAGCATTGTCATTATCCAAATATGAATAAATCTGGAAAAAGTATATATATGTAAATGTGTGAATTTATAAAAATTATGAAGATAATTCTGGATTACTGGGCACAAGAAGCAGCTTCTTCCCCAAAGGCCTTGGACCACTGTAACCACACAGACTTGCTCCATGGCAAACGGAGAGAACCGGTATTACTCACGAACACGAGGACAAAGCTGATGTACTTACGACCGTCCATGGTTCTGGCCTCAAGATGCACCAGGTCTGGTTCCTTGTTCGACCCCATCACGGACCTGAAAAATAAAGAAACATAAATGGAACACCCACATTAATAAGCTCCCACGCATGTCTGTGAAGCCCACAGACTATTAATACCCATGGGTGTGGAAAGCCTCAATCCTGGGCATACAAGTCGTCTATTTACGGACAAAGTCTGACAGTAAAATCTCCACTTCAAATAAAAACCATAATGAAACCCATGTTTGATGAAGGCCAGGCTGAACTCCGGCAAGGATACTGTGTGTTATTAGCTTCGACTTGCAAATAACTTTGCATAGGGCACACATGTCCTCCCTCAATAACCCCACCAGCAGCATATTAAACCTCCAAAACTTATCAGGCAGGTGCCAGACATGTTGCTTTAGCTGAGTGACTTAAAAAGCAATTTACATAGCAAACTTATCTAATTACGTTCTTCCACTTTACGCTTGCAGAAATACCTACTATGGCCCTATGAGAACAAATCATGGGACTCAAGCTTTGCAGGGAGGGCAGCAGCAATCACTCTCTGCATTGTTGGACTCATGTACCAAAAAGGCAAATGCACCTCTCTTTGCTGTATGTTCCTGCAGCCATCTGTGTAAATAAAATTAAAGCCTATTTAAAATGCCTCAGAGGCATAGATTGTTTTGTAATTTTTCAGTGAGCCATGTTGAATAGAAAATAGTTATTCTGTTACATAAATAATAGGAGCAATCATGCTCTATCTCTAGAAATTTTATACTGGAAGACTAATTAAAGTTGGGACTATCTGTGCTATTTTGTAAAAAAAAAAGAATCATGAGAACTTTAATCGGCTCCATTTCTATATGGAAATACAGAAAAGAGTCAGATGCCTCCACAGGGGTCCCGTCCCTCTGCCTGCCTCCAGCTCCCCAGCCCACCTTCAATCTACTAGAAAATGAAGATCTCAAAACTATACATCACCTGCAAGACTTGGTGTGGCGCCTACACCCCTAAATGACAGGCCCCACCTCCCTTCAGCTGCTGTCCTCCACCGCAGCATAAGCAGCAAGCTTCCACCCCACCATGACGCAGTGCATGCCTCTCTGCAGAGCTTGGAATGCCTGACTGAAGCTCAGCCCCAGTCTCTCAGACTCTTATTTTAAGGCACAAGTTAAAAGTCATTTCTATTGTGAAATATGTCCCAATTACAACACAGAAAGCCTTTCTTCCCATCAATAAATATTTATGTTGATAAAAATCTTACATGATGCTTATCATGGCTTATTATACATCATTAGTTTTATTGTTTCTCTAATTGTGAAAGCAACCCCTTCCTCCAACATGTACGTGCGCGCACACACACACACAGAGACACACACAGACACACACACATATACACAGGCACACAAACACATATACACAGACACACACACCTCCAATAGGGCTCCCGGGAACTTTGTTTTAAACAGTTTATATTCACACTCATAGCTGCTGATACAGAATAGTCAAGTGTGGAATGAAAGAAGAAAGAAACCAAGGAAAAATCAGTGAAGGAAAGGAAAGAAGGAGGGAGAGAAGGTGGGGGAAATAAAGGAGAGAGAAAGGGCATTAAGACCGTGAATTCTTTGAAATAAGTAAATTAATCATGTCTTGGGGCATTCCCAGGGCGCTTCTCAGGTGAACTCATTTCCGAACTCGAAGAATCTGATGTCTTGCTAGCTTGGGCCTCTTCATCTTTACAGAAGACGCCTCCTTGAGGTGCTATTATCGCTGTCTGTCAGGTTTGCTCGGATTGATACATGGTCTGAAATTCAGAATCTATGCTCCAAGCATTAACTCTTACTTCCGTTTTCTGCCACGAAGTTGGCATTTCCACATACGGGTTCTGTAATTTCCTCCGATACGAGGCACACATGGCTGGCTTTTGGACCTCCATACCATTGGAACTGGCTTGACGGTGGGCAGAAGGGGACATGCACCGTTCAGTTACGTACCTTAGCAAACACTGCTCCGCCGGTAATGTCCCCGCCTCCCCACGCAGAACTGTGCATTGCATGCACATGCAGGTGACTTTTCCCAAGAAGCTCACAAGTCCCAAGCATTAAAAAAAATGAGCTGTCTGACAACCCTCAAACAGGAAGCTCAGAAGTTAACTGTATTTTTGCGAAAATATTAGTAAGCTGTCCCCTGTCGCTCATCTGCCCTCTGCAGCGGCTGCTCCAAGTTTCCTCCTGGGTCCACCACCTTTTATTCACTGGAATCATCCGGCACCCCGAAGCACAAAGTTACAAACCAGCAAGGGCTGTCTGGCTGGCTCACGGACGGTGTCAAAATCATCTCCCTGGATCTTACTGCGCCCTTTCACGTGTTTCTGGGTCCACAGCTCTAGCTCGCTGAACGACCTCTACAGGCATGAACTGCTGTTTCGCCTCACATTTTTCTCCCCTATCAACTAAGGAAAGAGATACAAGAACACAAGAGTCCTTTGCTTTTCTCCAAAATCTACTGTGGTTAGCTAACCCCTTATCCTGCCTAATATTTTTACAACATTAGTAAACAACTACAACAATAAAAAGAAACTTTAAATACTGAAGTTGAACCACAGTGTTTCCAACAATTTTTATTTGTGACATGCTCACCCCTACAACTGGTGGTTGGAGACCATGCGGACTTATGGCTTCTTTCACTCTGAGACCCCGGTGGATTCTGGATTGATGAGGCCAAACAGGGCCAAGTGTCTGAAAGGGCACTGGTTTTAAGGTCCTGTAATGGATTAGACACCCTGGAGAAGCATGTCATGGCCACTGGTCACCTGCTGTCACCAGAGTGGCACATTGAGGTAGTTTTCTGTGTGTTCTAAGATCAACTGTTGTCTTTCTTTTTCATCACCATTATGTATCACTGCCATTATCAAAGCAAAACAGCATAAGCATAGAATTGAACCCAAAATGAACCCTGATGGTTTGATCTTCAGAGTGAGGTCCTGTGATGAGCTTGAGTGTTCCTATCCAAACCCATTAGCAAGCCTGACTCCCTCCCAGTACAAGGGCTGAGCACCTTTGCTTTGTTCCTCAACCACCCTGTGCATACTGCTGCCATCCTTAATCATGGTTTGCCATATATCCATACATAAATGATTACTTTAATTCACTGAGTTCCAAAGAGGAGTTTCTTTAATCACTGAATTCTCTGTGCTTAGCAAACCATAGAGAAGAAGCAAGTTTCCTCAGTAAATATATGGGTGGCATATTTATGCTGGTCAATATTTACTGTCATATTCAATAAATGAGCTATTCAGTTCTGGGACTCAGGACAGCAGAAATGTGGTCCAGGACTCTTTAATGATTGAAAAAGCAATAGGTATCAATGTCTCTAACTGAGCTTCAAGCGAGGGGAGGGAAGTCTTTCTGCCTGTGCACCTGCTGCGACTTCTGCCCGGAACTCCGCTCACCCTCCTTCTGCAGTCCTAACGCTTATCACGAATGCTCAGCTGCAGACACAGATGCTGAAGTTGAAAGCTGGCTTCCCAGAAGGGCTGCACTGGAGCCAGGGGAGTATCTCTTCTGAGATCTCTAGGACCGTGCACACGCTTGTGACCAGCACAGAAACAGGCTGCAATCAGTGTTTGCAGGATATGTGTTTTAAAGTCCTGAGAAGATTCCTGACACTTAGGGCAAGTCTAGAAAAATCAGCTGATTTCTGTCTTTTGTCATACACTCCTTCTTCTTCCAAAATACGGATGGGGAATATTAATACTCTCTTAAAATAGTACTGATGTGATATTCCAATGGTCTTGGCATATAATGAGTGTTCCACTAACAAAAGATTAAAAATGATGTATCTTCATGTCCATAGAAAAATAGGAGTCAAAATAAGAGTTTATAGCCCAGGTGTCAACTATTTGAATAAGTAAAATCAACATTTTTACTTATTCACATATTTATTCCGTGAAACATTCCAAGGGCTCTCTGAAGACACAGAAGCGGGACCTTTCACCTGCAGATAGGGCAGGGGAGAAAGAATGACCAGGAGCCCTTAGAGAAAATGGACTGAATCTTCTTGATCTGCATCAAGTGATCAGTAAATATTGGTGAAAGGAGTGGACCCTATTTAAATACAAATGCCAGGTACTGAGGCCTAAGGCCCTGGGTCAAAGAGCAGATGATCTCTGTAGGCATCCACTAGTCATTCAATATGCTGTCCCTAGTGTTACCTAAAGCAGAACAGCAGAAGATGAAAGGGAAAGCTAGGAGATCCAGTCTTGACATACTCTTGCATAATGCTAAGGTTTTACAGTGGATCCTAAGGGCCATGGGGTGGTGCTAAAGAAAGTTAAAAATGGAAACGTATAAACAGCTAAAAATACGAATTTCAGTCTGGGTCTGTAGGTTTTCCTCCTTTTCTGGGGGAATGATCAGGTGACAGCCCACATGTCTCAGCAGTCCTGCCCTGCTGATGAAAATAAAGCAAAGTTGGCTGCAGTCCGCTCTGTGCCTCCAGGAGCTTAGGTGGGGATGCTCACATCTCTGAGCCATTTTTGAGAAAAACCTAACCATTACCAAAGTGAGACTCTGAGTAAAAATCAGACCACCCTGAGTGAGTGCGCTGGTGGTGTGCTCAGCGCAGAATCTACCTTCTGAAATACAGTCAGCCCGAAGCGTCTTTTTAGACATTTTTCACAGAGAGACTGGGAAATGTCACTAGTTTATCATTCTGCTGGGATTTTGTCTGAGTTTATACCTGTTTAATATAGTGCTCAATAAATGCTGCAGAGCCACAAAATGTCCCGACGTAGATAACCACGGAGCAAGTTTCAAAAATAAACACGGTGGCAGAAGAGCACCTACTTATTCAGATTTAAAGTTGCAGCTCACAGCAGATGGGGAGTGAGCAGCGATCCACAGGGCTCGAGGCCTGGAGACCCTGCAGCTCCCTCTTTGTCTTAGAACACTGATGAACACTGATGTGTGCAGCCCCTCCCTAAAGCAATAGCACTGCATCAAGAGGTCCTCCCTTCTCTCTAGAAGCAGCTGGATTCCTTGATTTCCTCCTCAACAGCCAAGGCCTT